CAGGCTGCCAGCACCAGCTGCACCAGGGGCTGCTTGGCCAGGGCCACGGCCACGTGGTAGGGACAGGCAGGTCCTGCTGTGCCTGCTGAGACACAGAAAGCAGGGTCAGAGCTGGGGACCTCGTGCCCTGGGGCAGCCCCACAGTGCCCAGGACCTACCCAGCTTGTCTGCATAGTAGGGGCACTTGCGGATGTCTCCTTTGCCATCGTGGGCTGGGAACCCTCCGTCTTGGGCCTCTTCTGTCAGGGACCTGCCAATCTTGTCCAGTTCATCAAACACCTGCAGGGGTGGCAGTGAGGCCATGAAGCAGGCAGAGCCAGGCAGCTCCATCCCAGGCCCTGGGAAGGATCCAGAGAACAGGCAGGAGCCACTTCTGCCTCCATCCCTGCCTCCCCCCAAGGACAGGACAGCACCTGCTCCTCACCTTGAAGCCCCTGCAGACAGACCTGAGGTGACAATGTCACACACACTACAGCTCCCAGAAGGCACAGCCCATTCCAGGATCACCAGGTTGGACCCAAGAGCAAGAGGGACACAGTGTGGCTCTGCCTCCCTGCCTGCCACGGGCAGGAGTAGGGGGGCAAGGGGAGCGCCCCTCCCTGCTGCAGACCCTCCTGGGATCTCTGCTTTGTGTGTGCAGCAGTCAGGTAGCCAGGGGTTTCCATGAGGATCCTTAACAAAGGAACCAACCACATCCCACCATGTTTCCAAACAGCTTAAGCTACACTGACCTACTGCAGCTCAGGCAGAGTCTGTGAGAGGCAAATACTATCAAAGGAAACAAAGGAACCAACCACATCCCACCATGTTTCTGACCAGCTTAAGCTACACTGACCTCAGTGTAGCTCAGACAGGGTCTGTGAGAGGCAAATAGTATGGAAGGAAGAAGCTGCAGACATTTTGGCCATGGGACAACGCATCAGACATGAGACAGGAGATGGATTGTAACCAGTGTACAATGTACAATGTGCTCCAATTGTTTGAGGTTGTCTCAGAGAGACAGCTCTGCTCCCCCTGCTCCTTTAGAGCCACAAATCCATGGGAATCTTGTAGTGAAGTTTCCATCAGCTGTGCTGTTGGAGTATGGGAGGAGTTCCTACCCAACAGGGAGGAATTGTCTCCAGAAGCTAGAGAAAGAGCTATTCCCACTAGAATCCCACCCCCCCAAGAAGAAGGGGCTCTGGTGGCCTCAGACCTACACCACAACAGTCTGACTGAGCTAACCTGGGAGAGCTGGCCCAGACCCCAGGGCAGCAGCACCAACATACCCAGGGTTCCAGGGACTTTGTACCTGCATGTTGAACCTGAAGGCTCGGTTGGCCTCTTCCACGATCCTCTCCTTGGTGTTCTTGTCCAAGTCCAGAGCGTTCATCCTGGCTCTGTAGAGCTGCTTGAACTGCTGAGCATTGGAAATGTTCTCAAACATGTAGAACTGGATCCCTTCATCAGTACTGGGCAGCTTCAGGGCCCTCTGGGCCACCTTCTTCAGCACTTGGCCACCTGAGAGGTCCCCCATGTAGCGTGTGTAAGCGTGAGCCACCAGCAGCTCCGGCTCGTGCTGGCCCACGTGATGGATTCTGTCCACATAGTGCTGAGTGGCCTCTGAACACTGGATCTTCTCTTTCCAGTCTTCTCCATAGAAATATTTCAGGTCTTTGGCCAAGGCTTCTCTCCGGTGAAGCTCCAGGGGGAAATACAGAGGAGCAAAGGCCGGGTTGTCCTTGTTGCGATCCATTTCCTCCTCCAGAGCTGAGTAGGTGAAGTGCAGTGCCACGGTGGCCAGCTGCAGGGCAAGCAGAGCTGAGGTGAGAAGCCACTCACAGGAGCAGCACATCATCCCTTGTGACAATTCCCTCCTGCAGGGAGCTGGGGCAAACGAGGAGGAAACCCCCAGGCTCGAGACACAGCCAGCCTGGAGAGCCAGGCAGGTGGCACTTGAAGGATCAGAGGCTCTTCTCTATTCATGACACCACCAGAGCACCAGCTCAGGATGGGTCAGATGTTGCCAGCTGTGTGCTCTGGGCCTCCTGTCACCCTGAGAACAGGGCACAGGGACACACTCCATCCAAAAGGTACAACTAGCACCAACAGCCTCACCCTGTAGGAGACTGCTCTATAAGCCAAGACCTTTGGGATCACAGAGCTGCTCAGACCCAGGACACATGAGGCAGCAACTCAACCTGAAGCCTCTGGAAAGAAGCTTCCGAGGATGGAAAAAGCACTGGAATTCCACCAGTATTTCACTCCTGAACAGCTTATGCCACTGGTATTTGTGCTGCAGCCACACCTGCCTTGGGTGGCCAGCAGCCCAGCACTGCCACCTAACCAAACCTTGCTGGGCCAGCCTGCTCCTCACCCTGCTGTGGAACACACCAGGCAGAAGTCCTGGACTCTTGGATTCTCCCCCCATCCCCTGTGCACAAGAGCTGGGTGTGTCCAAGAGCTCCTCTGGCAGGAGAGCAGAGCAGCACCCACCTTGAAGAGCTCCTTCTTGATCCGTCCTTTCAGGAAGTCCTTGACAAACTGGGTGTTCTCAGCACGGTCATGGGACTCCTTGGTCCCCTCCTTCAGCAGCTCCGAGAGGTCGGTGGGGCTGCAGGCAGACAGGGACAGCTCCAGTCACCCCACTCCCAGGCACAGCACCCACTTTGTTCCTGCTGTGTCTGCAGGGATCCCCTGATTTCCCACCATCTCAGGCCTGGTTTGGAGAAGGTGCAAGGTGGGATGGATCCCTCAGGCCACCACTGGCAGGAGGAAGCAGCAGCCACAGGCTCCTTCCACAGCTGCAGGTGGCCACCTGCCCACCAGAGTTCCCATTCTGGGGTTCACTGGGAGCTCAGACCCAGGACCCTGGAGCAATTGTCAAGGATCCTCTGACCCCTGCACCATTACTCTTGCTTCTCATCAACAATACTACAAAGACACTATGAAGAGCAACTACTGGGGCCAGCTGAAGGGCACAGGAGCCTCAGTGGTACCCTCTGTGGTCACTCTGGAGATACAAAAAGCAGAACAGGGCAAGACCCTTACAAGGTTTAGTTGTCCTGAATCATGTTGGTTTTGCAGATTTCTACAAGTCACTTTTCTAAAAAAAAAAAACCCATGACTTTAGGTTATGGCCACTGCACCTGCCTGGGGTTGGGTGCAGTGTTAGCAACACCCAGACTCCCTCAGAATGATGCCAAAGTGCACCCTTTTATGAGTGGTTTGCTGCAGAGAGCACCTTCCTGCCAGCTGGAGAGAGACTTGGAAAGCTTCAGAGCCACCAAGTGCCTGGACACTGCAGCCAAGGGGCCAGGCAGGGCCTGGAGGGGCTGGGAGTGCTGATGAAACTGAGCCTGCAAGTCACAGAGTCACAGAATGGGGGGGTTGGAAGGGACCTCTGAAGATCATCTAGTCCAGCCCCTGCCAGAGCAGGGTCACCTACAGCAGATCCCACAGGACCACATCCAGGTAGGTTTGGAATGTCCCCAGAGAAGGAGCCTCCCCAGCCTCTCTGGGCAGCCTGTCCCAGGGCTCTGCCACCCTCACAGGAAAGAAGTTTATCCTTATATTCAGCTAGCCCCTCCTGTGCTCCAGCTTGTGCCCATTGCCCCTTGTCCTGTCTTTGGAAACTGCTCAAAGGAGACTGATCCCACCCTCCTGAAACCCCCTGGAGATATTTGTAAGGATTTGAGATCCCCCACCTCAGTCTCCTCTTTTCCAGACTAAACAGACCCAGCTCACAGCCTTTCCAGAAGCCAACCAGCCTGTCTGGGTATTCTGGGATTCAGCCTCCTCATTTTCCAAGTCTGAAGCCTTGTTTTTTAGAGCATGTGTGTCAATATGTTTCTTTTTAAACTACTCTCCAGGAACAGACGCCTGCCTGGAGCAGTGGGTGCTCTGCAAGGGCAACAGAGCAGCTCACTGGAGCAGAGTTCAGCCCTAGAGTCATCTTTCAAAACAAGAGGTTGTTATCACATGAGACTGCTCAGCAAGCCATGGAAAACTGGCTCACCTTGGCCAGGAAGGCACAAACACAACTGGCAAAATATTTCTGAAATGGGAGATAGCAGAGACAAAAAATAACTGCTTGTTGGCAGCCTTGGCCAGATCACTCCTTCCACCCTTCCAGCTGATCTGGTTTAACAGATTTAATCTCATTTAAACAGATTTTACTGCACATCTACTTGATTAATCACCTGTTGGAGTCCCTCACTGCTTTGCAAATGAGGAGAAAGGTCCTTCCTTCACCTGGAAGGTCTCCTGCCTTGCCCAAGAGTGTGTCTGTGCCTCCTTGGGGGACAGGACTCACCTGACATTGTTATCTTCTGCTTCCTCGTAGCGCAAGGTGTCTCCTTCATCCCCCCCCTCCGAGCCCTCCAGAGCTGCAGGCATTGCTGGGCAGTGCTGGAGAGGAGACAAGCTGAAAGGCAAAATTAGAGAGGTTTTAGAGACCATTTGAGACCAGCTAAGCTCTGAAGCTGAGCAGCTCAGAGGGGAAACCAAAGCCTCCCCTAAGGAGGATATGAGGAGGAACTTCCAAAGCAGGGGCAGGTTCCTCTGCTGTGCCCCATAAAGAGCCAAAGTGAACTCCATGACCAGAGTGAGCTGCAGACAGCTCTGCTGCCACTCACACACTCCTCTAACAGGGTTTATTTCAAACCTCAGAAGGAATTGGCCTCTCCCTCCTCCTCTGCAAGGGGAAAAACACCTCTCCTCAGCTGTAGCAGGACACACAGGGCTCCCCCCAGCCTGACCCTCCTGCTGAGCCAGCCACCTCATTTATAAAATGGACCTGTAATCAGCTTTGTGCAGAGCAGCACCTCCCAGCCTGCCCTGCCAGTGGAGAAGGAGCTAAGGTGCTTTCTGGTTCTTAAAAGCACTCCCTGGAACAGCCACCCCTCCTGCTCTCCCAGCCTGGCCCAGTCCCCCTCACTGGGCTGCACCCCCAGGCTGGCTGCTCAGCCCACAGCTGAGGGAGCAGCAGACAGGCAGCTGTGAGCAGCCCAGCTCATTAGCAAGGGGCCAGCACCAGCACATCAGTTGCTGGCTCCCAGCTGACACCAGTTACACATTAACTGCCCTCCCGGGTGCTCACCCCCAAGTTTCTAAACCATTTCCCAGCCACCCTGTCTGCCCTCCATGCTCTGGTGCAGCACAGTCAGACCCCCTGGCTTGGGCACAGCATCCCCAAGGTGAAGGATCAGCTTCCAACATCAGGAAATGCCCACCATGGGGAAGGAAAACTAAAGCAAAGAGGTAAATATCCTGCTCAGGCTCATCCAGGAGCCTGTGATGGACACAGTGGAACAGCCTGCTTGCCCCTCAGCACAGCCAGTCTCCAGCCAACACAGACACAGGAGTTCTGAGGACACCCTGGCCTCCTGCTTGGTTTTCTTCAGGCCAGGCACTGCTCAAGAAATGCAGATTCCAAAATTAAACTAGATGAACTGGTTCTGATTGATCTTATACTTCCAGAAAGCCTGAGTCCTGGAGGCAGGGTGTGCTGCCTGTGGGAGCAGCAGAGCCACAGAGCACTGCCCACCCCTTGGGAAAGACCTGAAATCCAACCCAAAGGAAGACACTGGATCACAAAAACTAGCAGTTAGCAGCAGCAATGTTTTCAGGCTCCCAAAGGCCAGACAAACACAAGATGGCTCCTGAGATCATGGCTGTACCAGACACCTGCTGACCCACTGTTCAGAGCCTCCACACTCCCAGCCCCAGAGCTCTGCTCTCCATGGCACACCCAGGGCACCCAGTGGGTCTCTCCAGCCTTTACCCAGGCCTTTCACTACTGCTGCAGAAGCACAACTGGCCAGAGCAGGAGTTCCTGCTTCAGCAGCACTGGCTGCTGTTGGCAGAAAGTCATTTAAGGACATTTATCTCCTGTGGCTTTTTTTTTTTTTTGCAGAGGCTCAGTCTGACGTGCTCATCTCTACAGCAGCACTCAGGGCAGTGGTGACACCAGCCCCCCAGCCCCAGGAGAGGACAGCACAGACACAGGAAAACATGGAAGCTGAGATTTTTTTTCCCCCCTAATACTGTCTCTAGTGTAGATACCTCCCTGATGAGCACTGGATTCAAGAGACAAGTCAGGACAAATCAACCCCCTGCCCTTTTTGGCACTAGGATGTTGCATGAGAACTGGGAGGAAGTCAAAAACATTCTCTGTCTCTTTCACCACCAACACACATCTTTGCTTCTATTTAAAAGCTGACAAGGGGAAACCCACAGTGTAGTGGCCACAGCTCTGGTTTCTCAGGCATTCTCCTCTGAAGGAGGCAGTGTCCTACACACCACAGGGAGGCCCAGGCAGCTGCCTCCACTGCAGAGGCTGGAACATCACTTTGTTGGCTACAGAGAGCTCTGCTCATCGAGACCCAGCCTGGTGTTGAGGGTAAACACTGCCCTGCTGTCCTGACAGCAGCTGGCTTGGGAGAAATCCAACAGCCACAAGGGTGGGGATAGCAGGGCTGGAGAGTGAAGGCTTGGTACAGAACACCTCAGCACTCCAAACATTTCTTTCCTAGTAACAGTGTTCAACCCCTCCCCAGAAAACATCCCTATCTCATCCAGCCAGCAATTAGTCTGCCCCTACACAGGCTGCCACAGCAAGTTTCACAGTCCAGGTGCACAGCCTTTCTTCTCAGGCTGACACTTAATCCCAATAATCCCATGCTGTTTGAAGGAAGCAGACACTGTTGCCACAGGGCAGCAGGTCTGGAAGCCCTGGCTTTGCTTGGGCACCCTCTGGAGAAGTTCAATAATTCAGCCACCCAGGCAGCACAGAGTTCACGTCTGCTGTTCAACTGGCATGAAGCTTCAAGGTGTTTCCCCAAGTGCAGAGCTGACCTCCTTGCTTCAAGCAGCAGCAGAGTGTGCCTGGATCTAGCCAAGCATCCCTGCAGCACAGACAAACCCCAGAGCCCCAGGTCTAGTGGCTTGAAGAGTCATCACAGAGATAACCTGGCTAGAACAGCCTCATCATGTCTCCTCCTGCCTCTGTTTGGCACTGGCTGCTGAGGGAAATGGAGCCTCACAGAGTAAATGACTGTATCACCTGACCCCAGGTAGGCTTAAGACTTCACCTGGACACAGCCTCAATGCAGGCAATAACACAAGCCTAAAACACTTCTAGCAGTGCCCTGTCATGCTCAGCCCAGCCCCTCAAACTGACCCAGGAGGGAAACTCCAGGTGAGCTCCCAGCTCTCAGCCAGCCCCACGGGAAGGGCTCCCTGGGCATCTCCTTCCCCACCGCGGCCAGGAGAGCAGCACGAGGAGGGTCAGTCGGGTCAGATGCAGCAGCCCTTGCTCTGGGGGGGCCGTGTCTGTGCCCGGGCACCCTGGGCAGGACAGGCCGGGGTGTGCAACACGTACAAGTGGCAGGGCTTGAATAAAACGTTTGTTTCACCCACCCACGGGAAAGCAGGGACTGCAGGAGGCCTCGGAGCTGCTCCCAGCCCTTCCCAGAGCTCAGCTGGGCCAGGGAGAGCCCAGTGACCCCGCACCGGGGCCTCCCTCTCCGGCAGGAACCGCGGCTGCCCCGGCCCTGCCCC